AAAACTATTGGCTAGCTAGTTTGATGACCAAATCATCAGTTTCTATACCTGTAAAATCTTGTCATGGAACATGCATGCGCACTGTGTCTGCCAGTTTTACAGTTTTCAATTAGCCTTTTTCTCGTCAATCCACTTTAATGGCTTTGGTTGGGTTTAATGGCTGTGACACCCAATGGCTATTCAGAATAGAGTTGTTGCGATGTGATCAATGGAAAATGGAGCACGCTGTTGGTTTTGGTACTAGAAGTGCATGGTGAGAGAGTGAGCAAGACTGAATAGAGCTGAGAATTATAATCAGTCAACCAGAAGTCATATGGTAGCTATCTGTTTCTTATTTTATCTCACAAGAAAACAGTATAGTAATGATACCTATAAACTCCCTTGAACAAGTAATTCTTGGCTCTGGAATGCTGAGTCAAGTTAAATCAAGGAGTTTTGACTAAAGTTGTGCAGATAGTTGCAGGAAAGCTCGGAACATGATTGCCAGGTCACCATGACAAAAAGAAATGTAGAGATGGGTCGTGGGAGAAAAGCAGCATTTGGTATTTTGTAAGCCTAGCCCAAGTTAGCTGACTGTGGTGGTGTACTTACGTCTGAGTCCCCATGTATAATAAATACAACAAGCCCGGGGTTTCAGGTAATTAAATTACCTCAAAACCAGCTGAATGAATGTGATGGTGTCAGGAAGAGACGGGGATGAGCCAAGAAAGCGCGCGTGTGAAAGGTGGAGCAGCGCACCTCTCCCACTGCCTGTGGCGCCGAGGAGAAGAGCAGAGCCCAGCTGCTGTGGGCTCTCCTCTCTGCAGGGTGCTGGGCTCTGTCCTTGGCCTTCTCTGGATAATGCTCTAGCAAACTGGAGTAAGTGATACTGACAACTTTTACACAGTTTGCAGACCTTCCTGGACAAATACGGCATTTGAATAATCAATTGAGTACAGTGTTGGGGGGCTTTATGGAATGTAGAAGTGCTAATTGGGCAGCCAACATTTTCTTTTAAAAAAGGAGCAAAATGCCCATTTGAAAGCCTGGGCCAGGAAATGCACACTCCAAGCTCTAGTTATTCTCTCGCCCTAAGAATTAAGATCTGCACGGAGATGTTGTGAGACCTTAGGCAAGTAAATTTCTCTCTGAATTACTTCATTTTAAACACACAGTTTATCTAAACACTTTCAGATTATTTTAAACTTTAAACTTTTAAACTTTGATAATTTAGGTTATAGGTATTAGAGGAACAATCCAAACCTGCAGTTAAAATGAAATTTTATTCTCATAGTTGATACGGCTTTTAGTTTTACTTTCAGTTGAAACATTTTGTCTACTCTTTGTGGAAACTAAAAATATGTCTCTATATCTGAAATAATACCGTGGGGGAAAACTAGATAGTCTAGTTGTCCTATAGTATACTTAAATGAATTTGATTTTGATAACATTTAAACACAGTTTCTGATACTAATTATGTTACCAGAGCAGCATGCAGATAAACCAGCTTACACATTTGTAGCACATTTGATGTAATCGTGTGCCTGGATTTCTTTGAAAAGGAGCAGGAGAAACCTTGAGTTATCTCCCAATCCTGTCTCCTTCCTGCTTTCAGGGCTTTTCAGCATTTTTTCCTTGCCAAATGCCTTTCATGCCAGAACAAACTGTAGTGGTCTCTGTGACCTGCAGAGGGGAGCACTGGAAGGTGTCCCTCTAGTACCCCACTTCAACATCATCTCTTGCCTGGACCATTGCAGTCATCAGCTGACTGGCCTCCATTCTCACCCTGCATTTCATCTAGCAGCCAGAGTATGCTTTAGATAACATTTGAAACTTTGTAGCTTACCATGTGTAAAAGTGCAAAAGGACTTGATGTAGATCTCTATACTAATGGGACTTAAAGAAAATGAATGTGATGAGGGCTTTGTAGGTGCTTTGAATGCCTTGAATGAACAGTGCTACCAAACACAAGATTGATATATTTATTCAACAAGCGTTTGTTAAGTGCTTCCTGTGTCCCAGGCACTGTGTCTAGGAGCTAGAAATAAAAGACATAATTGGTATAACACTGACAGTTACTTTTGAAGATTTATATTAAAAAGGAGAGTACCCAAACAGAAGACATATACCACTGGTTAATTAGGACATTAATAGGCTTTTAAAGGTGAATAGTTGTATTTAAGAATGGTGATTTACCAGGCTAACAAAAGATAGGCTTAGCTGTCCCTTTTCTTGCAGTTTGGTTCTGTATTTTGTTGGATACAAAAAAATTTCTTTCTTCTGTGTTTCTTTTTCTTTGCTCTTTAGTCATCAGCTGTAGTGGAAGACTAATGCTCAGCCCCTGCATAGAAAATCTTTATACACAGCAAGAGCTGGTGAGAGAAATTGACTAGAATTTTGTAATTCTAGTCCCTTTCAATTAGCAGCAGATGCTGTAGGAAAGACTGGAGGAGCACGGGAATAATGTTTCCACGCTCTAGCTGGCGTGGGTGCTCATTGCAGAAGAAAGATGTTCTTTTCCTTGGTCCAAGTATGTCACTGATGACAGATCAGGTTTTTTATTATTATTTTTTTTAACCTTTCTCTACTCCTACATAAGGCCATTAATGAAGTCTGGCTCACTTGGAGGAAAGTTAACAAATTTTTGATCATTTATAACAGCATTTGCAATCTTATTGAATACTTACACACTTCATGGAAAATTCACTCTAGCTTTTTTTTCCTGACACTATAAAAGTATACATGGTATTTAATTTTAAGGTTTATAAGAATGTAACTTAATTTTTATATCCTCTTATTCACTGAAGATTTCTCTTTTATTCCAAAAGCTAATGTACTTTTGTTAGTTATGTTTCTTTTCCAAAAGAAAGAGTTGGAATTCTTAAGGTCAGATATTTAAAGTTAATTTTTAAACAATATTTTGGGGGAAAAAAATCCTGTGGCATTAGAAAAAGATATTTACCCTCCCTCACTAAAATATACTTATTACCGATTATTATTTTATGTGCCTTTAAAATTGTTCTGTCATTCTGATAGTTGGATAAAGTGCTGTGTCATTTATGTGACAGATTCTTCCAGAATCGAAATGTTGGTTTGACTATTACATGAACACTTATTTGCAACAGTTGCTGCTTTTTCATTGAGTTTTATATAACCTCTTAATAACAGTTCCCACAGTTACTATAACTTTGAGAGTGAAAGAAATGAGGCTTCTACAATTTCATTTAAAAAAAGGTGTAGTTAAGGAGAACAGTTTAGGAAAAAAATTTAAATACTTGTTCTCAATTAAAATAGAATTCATATGTGAAATTCTTGTCTCAGAAAAATCTGAACTTAATATATTTCCTAGCATACCCTGGGAGGAAGATAGCAACAACAGAACACACTGCTACCAAGAGGACGCTATGGAATTGTCTCTGGAGATTTTTGGAATGGGTGTGAGTAACTGTATTATTAGTGTTAGTAGAGGTATGTGGAAAGATGAGATGATCTGTGTGTCTGCCTTAGTGGAAAAACCAGTCATGTCACCAATTTGAAGGTGTGCCTCAATAAATCCATCAGGAAGTAAACTGGAATATGAGATTCCCTTGTTTATCAAGCCTCGTGGTAGTAATGTCTTTTAAAGAGGAATGAATTCTGAATTTGGGATGTTGAGAGCACCACGGCTACTTGAAATGCAAGATGATTCATCTTTATATCTTAGTAGGAAGGTTGATCTTCATTTAAAGCTTGAGTTTGAGACACATTTTCTAGCTTTTTCCATTTTTCTTTATCATTTCCAGCATAGTTTTAGCATTGTCTTTGGTTAATTTTGAGCCGTGTGTTTGACAGATCTGAGTGGTTTAAATTGTATAGTCCAAAAAGACAGGGACTATAGATAGTGGCTGTCATGGTTTCCGTGATGCTGGGATCACGTGGTCTCTCCGGTGTCTTTCAGACTTCCTCGAGTCTGAGTGAGTACTTGGCTTCTTTCCCTTCACTTCTCATACAGATACAGACGTTTCGCGGTTCTCTGAGTCCAAGCTTTCTGTTTTCATGTTCCTTTACTTTTCAGGAGCAAGGCTTATTATGGTTACAGTTTTGTGGTCAGGTTAACATTATTTTTGGCTATAAGAGGGAGACTTGGTAAACTCTGATTGTCATAAGGACTATAAAACTCTCTTATTCTGTGTTTTAGCAAACCCTTTGACAATATAGGTTACCAAGGCAGCATTATTTTTCTGAAAAATAACCTGGCTTATTGAAGAGTTCTCTGAGGTGTTAAACATGAGTAAGACTAAGGCAAAACACATTTTATGTTGTGGTATCTTTATTGTTTTATGCAAACTTGTTTATTCACATGTGAAATAAAATAGTTTCATTCATTAGTATGAATCAAGAAGACTGTGTATTGTACTAGAATATGAGAATCGATAGTGCTAAAGATAGACGTGTAGAATTTTGCTAAACTGTTCTCACACGTTTGGTGTCCTTAAAAAATTCTGGATGATTTGAATTCTAATCTGGAGCTGATTCTGTGTCTCCATGACATTAAAAGATGCTAATGGTTAGTTTTGATGACACTGATTCATTTCGCTTGCCACCGGGCCTCTCAGGGAAAGGGAAGAGTGGCTGTGTCTGGAAAGGAGGAAAGGGAAGAGTGAGGAGCGCTGGCTCACTTTAGCCTAATCCACTCTTTGGGCATCTTAGGTTAATGGAGGGAAAAGAAGTTATGAGAAAGGCTCATGAGTGCTTTTGAAAACACTTTCAGGATCATAAAATTACAGGTAGAAAGAATGTTAGAGGTCTGGCTGTCCTCGTTTTCGCAGAAGCTTCGTGATACTCAGCCAGGCTCGAACAGTAATAACGTAGCTAGAGCCCTGTCAATACATTTCTTTGACTCAAAGATAAAAATCCAGGATTCTTCGCTATTACCATCTCTTTTTGAGTTTTTGTGGGAAGAATCTGAGAATTTGTTTGTCTTTCTAGGGAATAGCTTTTCCCCAGTCACTTTGCTAAATGCCTGTAGTCCCGCTGCACTCATGGAGACTGAGGAGACTGTCGCTTCATCCTGGAAATTGCAAATATAGAATGTAGGGTGGGAGGGGCATGCACAGAACCTTATTCACATGTTGGGGTTTACAGGAAAAATATTTCAAAAATTGACAAAACATTGGTAAAATTTATCTTTTAAAATGTGTTTCTGCGTTTTTCAGAGATTAAAAATTTCAAGGTAGGAGTTTAAAGGGATTTCCCAGCTTCACCATGTTATATTTTTAAAATTTGTTTAAAAAATTTGTTTGGTATTTCTTTATATTCTCTACTTTTGAAGTTAGACACATATACCTGACAGTTCACCTGGTGTTTGTAGTAGCTATCATGTAGCTTTATATGTAAACCGGTACTCTTGGTTTACGCTTAAATTTTTTGTATAGATTTTCCAAGTAAAGCAGCTTCAGAACAGTGGTTTGACAGCCACACAACCTCAGGCTTCTTTTTGACAATGCAATTTCAGGGCATGTCTTTACAATTTTAATCTAAGAATTGGAGTTAATTTGTAATAATGTTATATTAATATTATATAATATCAACATAATATAATATTAATAATTCAGATTGTAGCTCACTAGACACTGTGACAGCCCATATTTGAAGCAGTATGGTGGTCATTATCTACCTGTTAAGGACTCTGACAGAAAATTGTGAGGGATTTCAAAGCAGCATAAAACCAATAAAGGAATATAGCTTGTCAGTCTCATGAATTTCCTCTCAAACTTTTCTAGCCAAGTACTTCTGACTGTAGAGGTGATATGAAACAGGTACCCCAGGGGATTAGTGAAATATGATCCTGAAGTTCCTTTGAAGTCTTTTTATCTTGCAAATCAATGCAAATGTTACATTCTGTTTCATAATAGATCTGTGTTTCTTTTCATAGTAAAACAATATTCCACCCCCTCCCACACATATAAAAATCTTTATCCTCAGGAAGATGTACTGTGCTTATCTGGTAGTTTTAAGGACCTCCCCCCACCCCTCAGCACACGGAGTGACACATTTCATCCGCAGTACACAGCCCCAAAAGTGATATGGGAAACAGGCGTACCATGTCGCTTTTGATGTCTAGGCTACAGGGGTAGTGGCACTTTGGGCCTTTTTACTGAATTTAAAAGTAGCCTATATAAATTATATTAGCCATTGATTACATCTTGTAGACTTAGTGGCCCTTTGCTCAATTCTAACAGGAAACCTTTCTGAGCAGAGTCTCAGAGTATGGCTCAGGTTTAGTGCTCCTCAGGGCATGTTGTTAGACGCTGTAGATCCATCTCGTTAATTTTCACAACTTTTCCTGAGTTGATTGGGTCTGATGTTCCTCTTTCCCCCAGACACACAGATAAAATATTCTTTCTCTTCCAAAGTCACCTACCTAAATAAGCTCTCCATAAAGTTGCTTGGAGATTTTAAATAACTCATGTAAAATGTTAGACACGGTTCCTTACATATAGTAAGCAGTCAGTAAATGTTAGCTGCTATTTTATTGTTGCACTTAACCATTATTGCAGTGTGTACCTACTATGAACAGAACAACAGATCATGCACAGAGAGCGAGACTTGTTGGTGGCATATTCAGAACAGATGGCTGATCAGTCATTTTGGGTCTTGACTTGTGAACACATAGCACCTTTATTATAAAAATAAGAATTATATTACTCTTTGCTGCACGATTAAAGAAAATGGAATAACTTAAATACTTGACCAAAATTATGTTAAAGATAAAACTATGGTAGTGGGGAAACTGATTTTAGTTTCACATTATTTAGCAGTGCGGCCAGTGCATGGACTTCTCTGGAGTACAGCCTAGTGCCTAGTTTGTGCTGCTTATGTGTGTTGGTTGAGTGAGTCTGTTAGGTTGAGACCTCATTGTGGAGGCCTGATTATATACGTACCTGATTAAGCAAGACATTTGAATGTTATTTAATGGTCAAGGAGCAGCCATTTCAGAATTTTGAACAGGAAAATGATATATTGCGTACTTTAGATGACGGAAATATGCAAAAGGTTGTATTTGATGACAGGACTATGGTAAATTTACTTTTCTAAAGTTTCTAAGAACAGACACCTTTTCTGAAGTTTTCAGAGCACGCTTATGAAGAGTGGGGAGGTTGGGAATAGGGTGGGGGCAGTGTATTTAAATCAGTACTTTGAGAGCCCCCAAGGAATGGTTCTTCACGAGAATCACTATTTTAGGAAATCCTTGGGTGTCAAAATTATGGAACTTAGAGCTGAATTTAACCCAGAGGCCCTCACATCTAACCCTCATATGATAAGTGGGATTAAGTGAATTTCCTAAGGCTCCTAGCCCAGACTCCTGGTCCCTTGTCAGTCTTTCTGTCATGTATACATTGAAGTCGTGGGAAGCCATGTAGGTGAGCACTCAGGCAGGCCTGGCCTAAGTGCCTTCATCTTCCCCGCTCCAACAAGCCTGAATGTTTTCATATCATCTTGTTATATATTTAAAATTGTACCACTTAGAGATTCATGTAGGTTAATAAGTATAGGAATGAAAATAAAAACCTCACCAATCCCGAGGCAAATCGCTTAAACATTTTGTCATGTTTTCTCACCAGCCTTTAAAAAAAATACATACTCGTAAAATTAGAATTCTATTGTTTTATAGCTTGTTTTTTTAAAATTTAATATATCCAGACGTTGACTTATATACTTACACCTCAAATGACTACATCATTTTAAATGCTTATATAATAGTAGTGTATCATACAGATGTGCCATATTTTGTATAATTAAACCTCTAGGTAGTTCTCAGTTTTTGAAACCAGCTGCTGTTTTATAAGTGCAAATGGCTCTAGAAGGATTAGAAAACTTTTGGTCATTTGCACAATAGTCTGAGTTAAATATCTGTGTTTTCGTTTTGCCACCTAGCTAAGAGCAGCTAGTTAGAGAATGGGGCTTGTGATCTGGAGGGAAGCTCAGTAGGGAGAGGAAAGACTGGGAAGGGGCTAGTGTGAAGGGGCGTAGTTTTATCTACCTCCTATAAAACCCAGAGGAAGGGGGTGTGTGCCGGGATATGGAAGGAGGTTGCAGAAATGGAGTAATTTCAGCATTTTGCATATGAATGGCTTTTTTTCTTTCTCTGGTCCATAGGACCTTTTCTTTAAGACTTAAAGCTTATGCTGTTTTATGAGTTTTGTAGTTTTACATGTATCTTTACTAAGTACTGGTTAAAAGGCTGGGCACCTGAGCACCACTTCCAGTTACTACTTTCCAAATTCTAACCTAACCGCTTAAGACCTTTGGAACTTTGTTATGAGGTGTAGGCTACCAGCAGACAACTAATACATATATTTTGTCAGTCAAATGGAAATGAAAGGGCAGATATTGACAAGGCTTAATTACTAACTGAATGTCCTTAGGAAAGGACAGGAAAGAATATAGCCAACATGACTTAAGGGCTAAAAGCCTCAGAAATGGTGAAATGAGTTTTTGCTGATTTGTGGAGAAAACTGAAAGATGAAACCCGAAAACTCTCTCACTCTTCAGGAACTTGTGCTGTTGAGAGATATGGATAACAGATAACAGATAAAATCGTAATTTGTCGATATTCTGAAAGCCCTTATCTTAGCCAGGAATTTCAGTCCTGGCTTAAAACAACATATCTATCTGGACTTCTAAATAACAGAATGGGTAAATTTGCATTTCACATGCTCCTCTTTTAGTTGAAAACCGTTGATTATGTAGGGGAGAGATGATACCATAAACTAGGTTTTAGTTCTGTTACTCATTTGCTGTATGACATTGGGCAAGGCATTTCACCTCTCTGGTTTCTAATCTGTAAAAGGATAATTAATACTGGTGTAAATGATTTTTGCAGTTCCTTCTGAACCTAAGGTCTTTATTTCTAAAACAAAACGTGACCTCTGAGGTAGGGCTGGCTATACTTTCTCAAATTTGAAAAATTAAGCAAAATGCTGATCTAGTAGATTCGTGTAACTTAAGTATACCATCTTGAAGGTGTCCCTCTATCAACTAAAGAACAAATGTTTCACTTTAATATATGACTGCGTCAAAAAAAAAATGCAGCCACAGTAGGTGACCAAAGGGATAAGTAACTTTCAGGAATTTTGAAAGCCCAGTGGTATTTAGTATATGCTCTCTCAGCATTAAAAAGGTCACCTTGCTAATACATGTTAATTTTGAAAGTTTAATTGACCTTTGGAATTTTAATATCAGCCTTTTTTGGTGTGTGTAGAGGTTGGAGCAATCACTGAAGAAACCGAAGCCTGTGATTGGTGGAGTTTGGGTGCTGTCCTCTTTGAGCTGCTCACTGGCAAGGTAAGCAGTGACCTGGGCATTTAATGAGTTTACCCAGATGCTACCTTGATTTCAAATTGAGAACATTTAGCCTTTGCCTTTAGTTTTTAAATCAGAGACTAGGTAAAGAAACTTTTGAGATTATATATTTTTAGAGTCAGTTTATTTCCTTTAAATTCCAGATTTAAAGGAAAAATAGAATTGTATTACACTGAATAAATTGGTGGTAAAATTCTGATATGTCATAATGTTAGTGCACAGTAAGATATAAGACATTTTTCTCTTCATTTTCTATGATTCAGTTTCAACAGAATTAAATATGTAAGGCTCAAGTCAGGGTGTGTTAGAATTCTCTGGATGTTTTAAACATCCCTTCTGAAGTCAGGAGGGAATTCTCATTTTAGAAAATTAATGTAGATATTAAAAGTAACATCTTTTTTCTCAAACTGTGAAATTTTTGTATCCGTTCTAGCTTAAGGACAGAATTTATACTCTCTGATCAATAACTTTTAAGTAAGATGTTTGAGGCTAATAGACTTTAATAGAGTGTTGCGCAGATTGTCTCCTGGGAAGAAAATCGAGGAGACGAGCAGTCAGACTTTTGTAAGTAGTCTTCTGCCTTAAATATCAGTAATACTGAACTCCCAAGATTGCTGTGGAATTCACAAGTCACCTGTACATACATTTAAACCATAAAGTACAATACATATATGAAGTATTATTATTAACAAATTCTCATCTTTGAAGATTTTTAATAACATTACAAAATTTTAGAGATATCAAGTCCCTTTTTAGTTTTCATGTATAATGTTAGCTTTCCTGTTATGAGATATTTTCTTTGTAAGGGAAAAGGTCTAGTAGCATGAGCTTATGATGTGATTTCGCTGATTGCCTTCATTCCATAGGCTCAGAGCCCTTGTCCTAAGCCCTGCTTAGGTGGTACTGTCTGATTATGACACCTCTGGTTAAGATGGTTGTTGAGCTCTCTGTACTCGCTGTTCATAAGTCCTGTGATAGAACTGAATATGATGTTATTTGAGATAAGAAGTGTACCTGGTTGATTGTTTCAGACTCTGGTTGAGTGCCATCCAGCAGAATTGAACATGCCAGAATGTGTCTCTGAAGAGGCTCGCTCACTCATTCAACAGGTAATTTAATTGTCCTATTGGCTAAGTATATCAAATTAGCAGAACCCACAGTTCCAAAACCTTAAAGAAATTAGTTTTGGGTAAGAAAGACCCATTACTAATTACAGAGTCAGTACTAATACTGTGTATCTTTGGGCTTCTGCTCTTATCTAAGTGTTGTTGAGGTCAGAAAAAACAGTTAAAGCTTATTGGTACAAAAATTTTTTCCCTCAAAAATCCGGGTAATGTTTAGTCAATTGCATATATTTGTGTAGATGTGAGATTTAAGCACTGCTTTTAGTTTGCCTGGTGCTGCTCTATTTTGGCTACTACATTTTGTAACCATATATGACTATTTTTAGTCTTTAATTTATATTTATCAACTTAGGAGTGGACTGCTCATGTTGCTTAGGAGGGAAGTGGTGGGAAAGCTTGCCCAGTTCGATTCCTCCTAGCTTCATCCATGAATGGAACTTGGGCATTGGTGTCAGTTAGTGCATTTCTGGTGGCTTTGAAGAAAGAGACTATTGATTATTAAAGTTCAGTATCCCAGAGGTAGGCTTGGAACTCTGGTGAGCTTTTTAAATTGATTCCTAACATTTAAAATGCCTCTCTAGTTTTGAATAGTGCATTCGGTGAGTACACTGAGGGTTGTCAGCATTGTGGCATACAAGCTCACAGCAAATCAGCAGTGATTGTCAGGCCTGAGAATATAAAGGGAATATAAAGGGAAAAGTTATTTAAAAAAGATTGAGAACTAAAGTTTTTGTTTACTGAAACATAAATTATTTTTTTAATCAAAGAAAATGATGAGGGGTAATCGTTGATGCAGTGGAGGTAGTGTAAGGAAAGTTTTTGTGTAGTAGGTGTTATTCTTGTGGAATTTTAGACAGATTTTTGTCATGACAGGGTTGGATGTCGGGGGATAGCTAGGTGGAATGAACAGCTTCAACATAGGAAGGATTCTGAAAGACTCAATTTTGGAAATCAAAAACTTTTTTAAATTGAGTGGAGGGATGAATATAGGGACGAATAATGGTAGTAACAGAGTGTGGAGAGATAAGCTGGGATTCTCTCATGGGGTTCTAGTACCATGAACGCCAGGGGAGAGTGATAGGATTTAATTCAGTAAAAAACGGCGTTTCTGTGCAGAAGAGTGAAAGGATCAGAAATGTGCTTCATGAACATTAATTCTCCCAGAATTTGTAAAATATAAAGAAACATAATCAAGTTGGAAATAACTGGGATGAGACCACCTTGAGCACTTTGCCAAAGGATTAAGAGATAATGCAAACATAAATGAAACATTTCATTCTAATGAGAAAAAGGACAGCTACTCATTTGATTTTATCTTACTTGTGTGGCACAAAAAGGTAAATTCAAAGTATTTTTTTGGTGAATAATTTAAGGACGGCTAGCAGCCGCTATTTTTTGTTTCTCTTCCTTAAAGAAGCAGTCATTATTGTGTAGCACTGAGAATAGAATTTTCTGCATCAATTTATAAAGGTCTGCCGTTCCTGTATTTATCAGAAATTATGTTGTAGAGGAGACTAGGCTTAAGGCATGTTAAATCCCCAAATACAGACACGCGTAGCTTATGAGTAAATCAGCATTCTGTCATTGGCCGGCCTAAGGAAACTACCACTCATGTTGAGGAAACATCGTCAGGAAAGGGAAAAGGGGTCTTTTGGCATGATTAGCAATTCATCATTTTTACTTTTCCTCTTCCACTACCTCACAAGTCATAGAGGTCATTTTAAAAAAAAAATCACAAAATGACTTCTGTGGAGATCATTTTTCTGCTTTGGGGAGATTTTTCCCCTCTTTGGTCTGTCAGCTCCTTGCTTCTTAGATTCCGTAATCCCCTGGACCCATGGTTCAGTCATCTCAGTCAAGTCAACGTGCTAAAGTAAACATAGTTACATTTTAAATGCAATTTTAAAAAAAGATATTAATATTTTGCAAATCCTCAGAGCATGTATGTTTGTACTTCCCAGCGTGCATTTAGTTAATTATGACATAGTTACTTTGTCAAGATATATGAGAAAAAAAAACTTTCAAAACAAATTTCTGTGGCTTTATTGCTCAGCTTCAGGAGAAAAGAGGTTGGCAGTGACTATCTTGGATTTGCCACTGGTTGACACATTCTCTAAAGCAGTAGAATCTTTGCATGATCTCTCTTGAGGCCTGGCGTAGTATTTAAAATGGCAAAATATGCAAGATAGTCGTGAGTAAATTATACTTTTGCCTATAGAATTACACTTGCAAATTTATAGGGGAGTCCATGAGCTAAGTAAATTGACTATAGTAAAAATCAAAATATAAATGTTAATTGACATTTCATGATGAGGTCATGTTTTAGAAAGGAGGTGGAAAAGCCGATTGTAACAAAGAAGAAAGAACTTACATGTTTCATGAAATATCAACAAAATATGCTATCATTATAGTTAATTCTTTCCAATATTTGATATTTTAGATTTATATTAAAATGCCTGATGCCATCCACATTTCAGTTAGTATACAGAAATTGTCTGATTTTAAAAATGCATTTGATACATTTAGAATATTCTTATGATTTTTTATAATAGCTTTTCTCTTAACACATTTTAGCAACTTCTAATAGAAAAACTCTTTGAGCAGTTAGCTTTAATAAATATTAGTGATTTTGAATGCTAGATACAATGATTTCAAGTGGAAGACTGTGAGTGTTGTCTTTTAAAGTATATGCTTCACTTCCCTGGTGAATTTGGTAATATCAAAGTGAAGTAATAGATTCTTGGCATTCTCAAATCACACACTCATGAGGTAGTGTAACGTGTGGTTAAGAGCATGGATTCTGGAGCCGTCGTGCCTAGGTTCAGACCTTGTGTTTCTGTTTCCTACTTGTATGATCTTCAAATAAATTGTTGAATTTCTCTGAGTCTCTGTTTTCTCATCTATAAAAAAGAAATAATAGTAGCTATTCATAGACTTGTTGTGAGTTAAGTGAATTAACCTATATTAAGCACTTAGAATAATACCTGGCACACCATAAGTGTCACATAAATGTTTTGTATTATTATTATTGCTAGGACAATATTGAAGGTCCATGACATACAGTAATTTGTAATTTAATGAAATGCATAGTTGAATTATAGAACTGCTAATGTTAAGAATGGGGCAATTGCTGATGATCCAGGTGGAAAGGTCTCAAAAATTAGTGGACTGGCACATTATAGGAAAACAATTGATATTTTTTCATACAAATAATTGAATGAATGAATCATGAATAAAAGAAAAATAGAAATAAAGGAAATAAGAGAAGAAATAGAAGTCATGGTTAAATTTGAATAGTGAGATTTTCTATATGTATAAAACCATTAATGCAAAGGAATTATTTAAATATTTCAGTTACGGTTGGCTGAATTCTGTGGAAAAAAATTATTTGCTATGGGAATGATCTCGAATTTGAATGGTATAGTCATATGAGAAAGTTGGCAAATTCTCTTCTCAAAAAGAAAATTATACAGTTAGACATAATTGGCAAAAACAACCATCTCAGTGTTCTGGAAATTGATCAGAAGGATACAACAATCTGAAAAGTGTTTGTGCTTAAAAAACAGTGGAACTGTGGGAAAGAACAATGGGACTCTGTGGCATTCTTTCCT